GCTGCGCCACCAGGGAGGGCCCTCTATCAGCCTTTCTTACAAAGGCTGTGTTTCACATTCTCACTTGCCACTAATTCTTCTGACTCCCCTAAGCATCAGTGTAAACGCCACACCCACATACATACACACACACACACACACACGTAAAAGCCATTCTTACAAAGTTCACAGCCGCACAGAAACAGGGAGGGAGTGGGCTGATGAGATCTGAGGCGGCTGGCGCCTGCCCTCGCTGGCACGGCTGGTGCAACATGAAAATCCCCAACGCTGGCTTCAACGACCTGGGTTCCAGCCCACAATGCAGGCTCAGCCTGGGGGCTCCAGCTTCCTCTCTGCCTGGGTCTCAGCCCCCTCCGCACCCCGTCACACCTCAGAGGGGTCTTCAAGCAGCATCCCGAGCCCAGTTGCCTCAACCATGATGGCCTATGGAGCCGTTAACTGACACACAAGGGCGAAGGGACTGTGTCCCAGGGGTGCTCGCTTTCCTGGGGGACTGGGGTGCTGGGTTGGGGCCTTTGCCCACTGCACTTGTTCTGGGACCTGCTGACAATTTCATCTGAGGTCTGGCCACTAAGATCGGGGAGGGATGTCTCTGTCCGTCTAGGAACTGGGGGAGTTCCGACTGCACCCCCACAGCCCCAGTATCTGGAGCCCTGGTCAGCCAAACCGAAGACAGGGGCACACTCATGCTATATCCTTAGATCAGCTACAAAGACCGTAGAAGCCCACCGAGACGCATCATCACCCGCTGAGCCCAAGGCCGGACTTGCTGGTGTCCCAGGGCATCACCTCGCAGTGGTTGTCCAGCTTGGTCAGCGAGATGTCCATGGTCTGGTGCTGCTCCTTGAGCTCGTCGAAGCGGGCCTGCCAGCGGTTCAGCTCCAGCTGCGCGCTGTTGAGCGAGGTCTTCAGCTCCTTGGTGTGGGTGTGCAGCTCCTCATACTCCCCCTTCAACTGGTGGTGCAGGAAGGTGACCCTGCGGGTGGAGAGCCAGGGCAGAGGGCTGAAGAGAGTGCTCCGGCTGCCCAGCGGGGGAACCTTGCCCAAAGCCCCTCCTCCCCGGGCCTCGGGTCTGTCTCTGCCATCGTGACTGTAGCTTCTTTTTTGAGTTGAGCTACCATGGCTTGACCATACCAGCCTCGGCTGTAAACACGTGCCAGGCCACTGAGCATCCCTTGTGTCACGACCACAAGAATACCACGAGCAGCGATCTGGGGTTACGAAGAATTTCAGCACTTGGGGAATCCACAAACAGGGGTCCAGAAATGATGAGGAGGGGTGCATCTCCCTCATAGGGTCGGCGATGATCACCGGACACAAGGGTGTCAACAGGTGGGAGCCATCACCTGCATGCTCCCACCCAGTGACCCACAGGGTCCGCTTCGCTCGGTCATGGCCAGCATGGCAGGGCTTGCGAGATCTCCCTTTACGGGGACCCACGGGGCTGCCTCAGCCCACCGCGGGCTCACCTGTCCCGCTCGCCCCGCGGGCTCACCTGTCCAGCTCGCCCCGCAGCCTCTGGTTCTCGCCCACCGCGACGGCGCTGCTCCTCTGCTCTTGCTGCAGGGCCTCCCGCTCGGAGTGCAGAGCCTTCTCCAGCTCGTCCAGCTCCGCCTTGTGCTTCAGCATGGCGTCGTGCCTGTTGGAGGGGAACACTCACTGGGTGCCGGCCGTCGGCCTGCGGCTCCCACACATGACACCAGAAGGCTGAGAAGCCTCCCAGAGAGAACGGGGTTCCCCGGTGGCCAGCTGCAGAGCTGAGCAGGACAGGGCAAAGGAGCAGGGCGAGCACAGGCCGGGAGCCTGGCAGTGGGGAGAGCCGCTCGGGCATCTCCTCCGCCCTGGCATGTCTCCACGCCACCCCCAAGTCCTGGCTCTAGTGGCCTTCAGGAAGCATGAGTAAGGTTTAGGTGGTCCACTGGGCATAAACAGATCTAAGAGAAACCACAGAATAAACAGCTGAGTGTCACCACACATACGAGCAACCCCTGCTGCGGGGACCGGCATCTCCTGGCCAGTGCAGGGTGGGAGGCCTGGCAGGGCCCAAGCAGCTGCTGGGTCCAGAGGTTCTCACTCGGGGTGTTCTCAGGCCCAGCCCTGCCCTCTGACAACACCCCCCTTGGCCTGGTGCTCTTATTCTGCCTTGGTAGGTCGCGTGCGGTCACTGCTGGAGCGGGGCAGAGCCCAGGCGTGAAGGCCCCGCCAAGCTCCTGGCTGCTCCTCCCACCTGCTGGAACCTTCT